CTGTATTAAAGGGTCGCGGCATTAGGAAGGTTGAGACCCACTGCTCTAGAGGCTCCCCATGTATATTTTTAATCATTTCAAATTTCTTTAATTCTTTGAGAAGAGCGAGCTGTAGATTCAGAATGCCTTACAGGAATTGGTCTTCACCTTGGATAATTCCAAAATATTTTTGAATCAGTTCTTGAATCTCATGAATATAACTAATACAGATAGTCCTTGACTTACGACTACAATTGAGCCCAAAAGTTATGATGCTAAGTGAGAAATTTGTTAAGTGAGTTTTGCTTCATTTTACATCTTTCTTGCCACATTTGTTAAGTGAATCACTGCAGTTGTTAAATTAGTAACACGTTTAGCAATAGCACTTAGACTTATATACAGCTTTACAATGCTTTTACAGCTGTCTCTAAGCAGTTTACAGAGTTAGCATATTGCCCCCAACAATCTGGGTTCTCATTTTACCCACCTCGGAAGGATGGAAGGCTGAGTAAACCTTGAGTTTGGTGAGATTCAATCTGCCAAATTGCAGGCAACTGGCAGTCAGCAGAAGTAGCCTGCAGTACTGCATTCTAACCACTGCACCACCTTGGCTCTATTAAGTGAATCTGGTTTCCCCATTGATTTTGCTTGTCAGAAGGTCGCAAAAGATGATCACATGACCCCAGGACATTGCAATCGTCATAAATATGAACCAATTGTTAAGCATCTGAATGTAAATCACGTGACCATGGGGATACTGCAATGGTCTTAACTGTGAAAAATGATCATAAGTCACTTTTTTTGGTGATGATGTAACTTCGAATGGTCATTAAATGAACTGTTGTAAATTGAGGACCACTTGTACTTTAATTTTCAAATCAAAATAGAAAGTAAAAAAAAAACCTGACTAGTAACAATAAGAGAGAACAGACAGATTACCTTCTCATAATTGTGAATTTAAAATCTGCTGTTAAATGTATGAAAAAAGGTCAGAAGCTTTAATACGGCTCAAATCCAGAATTATAGCATTACGTGAGTGACTTTTGATATATGTATATGGTTTTTAAATGGCTTAAAAGGGTTTTTCTAATTCCACTTGAATCAATACCCCCACTTCCTGCCAAGAAATTATTAGAAATTTGAATTCTGGGAAATGGCCCAAATACATACAGTAAGTATACAATTTTCCAACACATTGTAATAGTACTTTATGTTTATCTGATTTCCTGGGGCAGTTGTAAAATGCCAAATGTTTAATTAAGCATTTCCTCCAACCTGTCATAAAAGACCTTGTAGTATATTTCCACCTTATCAAGAATGGAACTATGCTTTTAGATGTTTAAAGAGTACCATCTGATAGTCTTCTGGAGCTCTTCAAAAGACTTGGCAAAGCAAATAAATCTCACAACTCACACACCTGCTAGAACACCTTGAATTATTTAAACATTTCTTTAAAACCTTAAAGATTGCCACATAAATCCAAGAAAAATATTATTTCTTACATCAAAGAAATGTAAAATTATAAACAAACAGATAAACTGAAATGAGCCGCAATGGCACAGTGGTTAGAGTGCAGTACTGCAGGATACTTCTGCTGATCACCGGCTGCCAGGAGTTTGGCAGATCGAATCTCACCAGGCTCAAGGTTGACTCAGCCTTCCATCCTTCCGAGGTCAGTAAAATGAGGACCCAGACTGTTGGGGGCAATTGTTGTGGTCCGCCAGCAGCCTGCAGACCTGTCAGCAGAGTCAGACAGTGAAGAGGCTGGGGAGGACAATGGGCCAATCCTGGAGTCAGGGGAAGACCTGGACGAGAGCTCTGTGTCGGAGGCAGAGATGGGGCCAGGGCCATCTGGGAGCGATACGCAGACTCTGGAGCCTCCAGAAGCGGACAGCAGAGAGGCAGAGGAACAGGAGGAGCTGTTCCTAATGCACGCATGCGAAGAGCTGTTAGAAGGCAAGAGCAGCTGAAGCAAAAAGGAAAACTCAGGAGTAAGTCTAGAAGATGATTGGCCACTGCCATAAGGCTTTAAAGAGCAGCAACAAGCCATTGGGTTCTTTGTAGAAAAGCAACTTTGATTCCAGTGCTTCTTGTCAGCGTCTCTTCTTCTTTGTGGGGGGTTTGCCAAGAAAAGCCTTTGGTTGCCAAAGACATCAAAGGTTGGTGATAAGGCCAACGGACTGGTTATGAAGAATTTGTTTTGGACTAAGCTGAGAATGAATTAATTATCAGCTGTTTTAATAAAATAAGTTTGTTCAGGACTGAATTGTGTTTTGTAATCACTATTTGAGCTTTGGTCACAACAGCAATATGCTAACTCTGTAAACCTCCTAGAGAGGAATGTAAAGCACTATGAAGTTGTATATAAGTCTAAGGATTTGCTATTGCAAACTAAAATAAAACTAAAACAAGTACATAATTGTTAACGTTCATTCATTGCTCTCTCGCTCTCTCCTGACAATAAAATGTTTCCCATACAGGATTACTTCATTTGTTTGGCGCTAGAGAAGCAGCGTTCATCTGCCTTCTTTCTGTCCAGGATATCAAAATGTTTTAATGTCTTTTTCTGTAAAAATACAGCATCAGTGCAACATCAGGAGGGATAAGAAGTTGCAAAATCATCCTCCTTTTAGAAATATAGTTGTCTCATGACAGAGCAGAAGACATAAAAATGGGGGCAGAATAGCCCATGATCCTGATTCTGGCAATTGATTAAAAAATTACTTGAGAAGTTATATATTTCCTCTCTCCTATTACTTCCCCAATCTTGGTTTGATTCATCTTTAGGCTTCTGCTGTTTAGAACAAGAGAAAACTGTGTCAGTGAATAGTTCCAAATTAGTCAGATAAGTACCAGTATCCACCTGATTAAAATTCCAGTTGCTGGTCTTACTGTCAATAATGACTAAGAATGTTTCAGCAGAAATCTTGGAAAATTCTAAGAATGTGACAATATGAAACCTATGTTTAAGAAACTTTTCAGTAATCACTTTGATTACTAAAAGCCTAAGGGCTTTTTCTGCACTGCAACTTTAGCATCTGGTCTCTTGTGACTAAATTATCTTGAAATAAGACTGACTTTTTCTGATTCCAACACCTTTCTTGACTTAGGCCACAGATATATCCAGGTTTTCTGTTTGCATGGGTTATTTAACAGATTTTTAAATTTCTTCCCAACCCTAACCATGCCAGGAAAGAACATGCTTTGTAGACATGTCTTTTGTGAAGAGGCAGGCAGTGGTGGGATTCAAATAATTTAACAACTGGTTCTCTGCCCTAATGACCGGCTGGGTGGGCGTGGCCATGGTGGCCATGGCCAGGGCATGTGACAGGCAGCACTGAACCCCACTGGGAGCAAAAACAGGCCACAGGGGGATGTGCCAACCCCTGTGCCCCGTTTTTGGCCTAGGAGGTATCCCTAAAAATTCCTGGGAGCAAAAACACGACACAGAGGAGTGCCATACCCCCCATGTCCTATTTTGGGCCTAGTAGGCCTCCCTGCAGCCTCCTGGGAGCAAAAACAGGCCACAGGGGGTATGATGCATCCCCACACCTGGTTCTGGGCCTAGTAGGCCTTGCTCCACTTACCTGGGAGCCAAAATGGGATGCGTGGAGATGGCCCTGCCCCTCCCTGCCCCTGGAAGGGCCGGGGCAGGGAGGGGCAGGGCCATCCAGCAATTTAACTACCAGTTTTCCCAAACTGGCCCAAACCAGATGAATCCCACCACTGGAGGCAGGGCAGGGCAGAGTATGAGAGGAGAGGGGAGGGGAGGGGAGCAAAGGAGGGAGAAGAATGGAGAGGAGAGGTGATATGTTGTAGTTCTTACCACTTCAAAAGAAAACTTAATAGAATTCTTGTTAACTACACCCAATTACAAAAAGAAAAAGAGAAATAGTCAACATTTCATCAACTCATTACTGAACCTTAAAAAAAGAAAGACACAGACCAATATTCCAGCCTTTCATGGCAAGCAGCTCAAAAACCCTTATAAAAAGAGAATGGGATGAAGAGGATTGGATTCCTTTCTTATATCATGAGATTGGGAAAATATGATAAGAAGCAAATAAGCTCAGCGGTGCTCACCTTCCCAGCAGGTTGGAGATAAACAAGGATGACATTCATTTCTGCAATCTCAAAATATTAGGTAGCCCATTCTTTTCTTAATACAGATAAGCCCTTAGACTTGCTTATAGTTTTTGAATAAAGGTAAACATTTCAACATTGGCTGGGCAAACTCTTGGTTGTTGTCCTGGCCAAATAGAAAACTGGAAGAGAAAAATGGAATAGAATACACCAGTAAATTAAATAAAAGTTGAGATAAAAGCAGAATTAGATAAATATATTTCTAGAACTTCTTAAGTTTGATTTAAAGGAAATGTATAGTTTTAAAGATGTTAATCATTCTTCTTTCCACACCCTAGTTTGTATCTATAAACTATATTATATTAATATGTTATTAATATACAGTATTAATGTAAAATAATAATAGATTGGATATTATATTAAAATCTATTAAAATCTATTCTATCCAAGTATAGTATATGTAACAGAATACTGTGGACATTTCTTGATTTTTTAAAATAAAATTTGAGGAGACATTATTTCACATAATTATAGTAATAGCATCTCCCTCCCTCTCAGTGAATTTTTTATTGTCTTGCTATACTTGCTAATACATTGCATTATAATGAAAGCATCATCCTAGATCAGAAGTCAGCAACCCGTGTCTCTGGAGCCGCATGTGGCTCTTTCATCCCTCTGCTGCAGCTCCCTGATGTTGATCAGCTCCACAATTGATAGGACTTTTGGTTAGGACAGGTAGAGGAAAAAAGATGTTGTGCTAGGAGACTGTATGGTGGGGATTCCATGCTAGGAGGAGACTCTATGGTGGGGGAACTGAATTTCAATCGGCAGAGGAAAAAGGACGCCATGCTAGGAGAACACTCTATGGTGGGGGAACCAGACTTCTGGTCAGCAGAGGAAAATGGACGTCGTGCTAAGACGAGACTATGATGGGGAACCAGACTTCCAGTCAGCTCCAGAATTGAATGGACTTTTGTGGCTCTTTGAGTGTTTAAGGTTGCCGACCTCTCTCCTAGATATATTTTTGCTTTGCTGTGGTTTATCTCTACCTTTTCAATAACTGTTGCTTTTAATTGTGTCTTGCACAATATTTCTCAAGACTGCAAAGAAAAAAAAAATAAAGAGGACGGAGGGCTTCAACACAAACTGTTTTAATATAATAAATGTTTATAAGCACTTGAAATATGATAAACTTTATAACAGGTAGTGCTAAGACTCTATTTCTGATGTGTTGATATTACAGGGTGAAGTGACTGAAAAAGGCAATGAATAAAGCATACAGTAAGGTTTGTAGTTCTTTATCCTACAGTTTTGCTTTGTTTCTTGTTACAAATCTTTCCTTTATTTCTTTCATAAAATAAAATAGCTTTAAGATGGAATTGAGATGGTATAGAGATATTCTATTCAATTTGCTTTATCTTTGGAGCAGCACTACTGAACAATAATTTTCTTTTTTCTCTTCTGTCACTGCCATTGCCATTCACAATAATATAAATCAATATGGATTTCAAGGATTATGGATTGATAGTTCCAAACAGTACGGAATGAAACTCACCAAAGATGATCTCTTCTGGATTTATTCAGTAACATTAATAAAGAACATTTATGTACACTAAGCAAGCAAGCAAAATGAACAATTGGATTTGTAAATGACATTCATGTTAGTTAATGGTAAATAGGTAGCATACACTTTTACAATTTCTTTCTGTAACTGATATTAAAAATCTTCAATATTTCTTTTATCTTCTAATACAGCCATCTAAACTTAATTAGAAGAGGATTTATTTTTCTTTTCCTAAATAAAATAGTTCTTTTGTTTCTTTCTTTTTTTACTCCTATAATGTTCAAAATGTTACTTTGAAGGTTAGACAACAGTGGTCATGTTGCTCATAGTTATTGCATGAATTTTCACAAACTAAGTAAAACTTAAAGAAAAAAGAAGTTATGCTATTATGACTGATCATAGTGAACTGATTCTTCAATAATTATTGAGAAAGATATGGTGAATTGATTGATGATCCTGCCTAAGGGTCAAGAATATAATGGGAAAATTGAGATGTTATTTTCTTAGATTCCTTTGCTTATTTACTTATTTATACCTTAGGCTTGCCAACTCCTCAATGATTCTTGATGACTTACATCCACACAAACACACACAAACACACACATACACACACATATATACATGTACATAAACATACATATATAAGCTTTTATTTACTTTCCATTTTGATTTTAAAAATTAAAGTATAGGGGGTTCTTGACTTACAACAGTTTATTTGGTGACCATTCAAAGTTACAATGGCACTGAAAAAAGTGACTTATGGCCATTTTTCACACTTACAAAAAGCATCCCCATGGTCATGTAGTCAAAATTTGGGCATTTGGTAACTGGTTCATATTTATGATGATTGCAGTGTCCTAAGGTCATGTGACCACCATTTGCAACCTTCTGACAAGCAAAGTCAATGAGGAACCCATATTCACTTAACAACCATGTTACTAACTTAACAACTGCAGTGATTCACTTAACAACTGTGGCAATAAAAGTTGTTAAATGGGGCAAACTTAACAAATGTCTCACATGGTAACATAAATTTTGGGCTCAATTTTGGTCATAAGTCAAGGACTACGTGTACATAGTTTTGAGGGGCATGGTGGCTCAAAAATGCTGAGCTTGTCGGTGGAAAGTTGACAACCTAGTTCAAGACCCAAATGCCACATGATAGGGTGAACTCCCATTACTTGTTCCAGTTTGTACCTGCCAGTAGTTTGAAAGCATGCAAATGCAAGTAGATAAATAGGCACCATTTCACTGGGAAGGTAACATGACCACAGAAACATTGTCCAACAATGCTGGTTCTTGCAGCTAAGAGATAGAAATGAACACTGCTAACTTGAGTCAGACACGACTGGATAGGGGAAACCTTTACCTTTATCTTTGTACATAGTTTTACTTGGTGACATGTTATTTATTAGAACTCTAAGGAACTATAAAAGATACAACCAAAAACTGCCAGGTCTACCTTTGGCTACGTCATAAAAAAGGTTTGAAATGTGTTTGAAGGCTCTGGATTTCTCACTCAGTCTAGAATGCATCATTCTGGCTGTAATATATATATGTTTTATTTAATTTGTGTTTGAATATATGTTTATTTAATTTGTGTTTGAATTATTAAAGTTTAATCCTCTACTTTGATTTCGATTTTTCTCTTTACTTTAACATGTTTAACAACATATTTCCACAGATTTTGTGCACACTAAAACTTGGTACTGTGCCATTCCCAATTTCTCTATCCAGAAAAGGTTGTGGCAGAAAACTGGACAACAGAACCGACCTAGATTTTCCAAGTTTCTGGATCAATTTCTATCCTATTCAGATCATTGATGCTAGGGCAATCTACCACAATGTTCTTACCTTATATTATCAGAGTGCTATGGAATGCATTTGTTTGGGTATACATTCCTACCTATTAGAATTTGATGAAATTCTGAAACATATCATCTAAAACACCTCAATAATAAAGAACCTACTTTTACACATTTTAAATAGCCATGATTTATAAGAATTTGTAAGCAGCAATCTAAGGTTTGCCTGATGAGATACAAAGAAGATTCTACATTAGAAGTCATATTTTACTTATGATAACTGGTTTCTGATCAAGATTTCAGAGACTTAAGCAATGCTGAGTGGAAATACTGCTTTCTACAAATACACTTTAAGATTATTATACTGTTGTAAAATGGCATGAGGCCAATGAAACAAAGTAGACTCATTGTACCTGGCATAATTATTGCAAATGATGAGAACCACCATTAAGTTAAATTTTTGAAAGTGTGATAAAATACAACTTACTGTTATTTTATCACTGTGGATAAAAGGGCCCTTTAACATTTTTATATATCAGATTTGCTTTTCAGTAGGATGTGTATCAGGAGCCAAATGGCGAGCCTCTATATAAGATGTAACACTGTCAAATTTTGTCCTAAATCAAGAAAATGCACAATTAACACTTCATTTCATTGTTTCTTTTTGGTGTAATATGTTTTTGCAAAATATAACATTTAATTTACCACTTCCTTTTTTTCACTACTTTTCAAGAAGGTGCAGTTAGAAGTTAATTGCTTGAGTGCATTTAGTTATTTTTTGGGAAGGGGGAGTGGGAAATGCAAAAAGTAATTTATAGTTTAAAGCACACATTGAACAATGGGACTTAAATGTTAATAATGATTACTCTTCTTTTTGAATTCCTTAGCTTTTCTAAAAATATTTCTTTCTATGTGCAATATACCTAAAACACATAATTTTCTCTGAATATGACACGATGCACAGTCTATAGTTGTATGAAACATATAGACCCAATAACATTGAAACAGATTCAAGTAACTAGTTTTGGAATCATAAAAATGTTACCATACTTTATTTACTTTGAAGTATTCTTGTTTTTCTTTTTGTAAGCAATAATAAAAGAAGTATTGAAGCAAATAACAGAGGAGAAAATGTGTGGCAAATCATATGTCAGTTGAAAGAATATGTGGATTTCTGTACTTTTTCAACTAAATCAACAAACAATTTTCAACTATCAACAAACAATTCTTCCAATACCAATTAGAAAATGGCAAAATGCTTATACTCATTGTGAAAAAGAATTATAGAACTTTTTTTGGAGTGTGTGTATATGGAGGGGGGGTTTCTTACCACTATAAGTTTAATATATTATCCTTATTTTTGCTAATTCTGTAATCATATATGCAACAATGTTAAATCTCAGCTGCCGGTTTTGTAGTTGGCCTTCTTTTCATGTTTTTCACAAGAACCTAGGATGTCCTAATGTATCAGCATAATCAGTGGTGGGTTGATCCTGGTTCGGTCTGGTTCTATAGAACCAGTAGTAAAATTGGTGGGAAGCTCCACCCACCTGCCACAATGTCATCATGGGTGATCTGCGCATGCACAGAAGTCCCCGCGCACTCGCACTGCAAGCCAGTAGTAAAAATAAGTGGAACCCACCCCTGGCATTAATATATGTGTGGATCCAAACAGTGTGGCCTTTTGTAATTTACAGATGAACAGTTTTGTAAATGCACAGATTTTCCAAGTGCCATTTAAGACTTTTTGGTATGACATCCAATGTGCCGAAAATCACTGAGATTTATGCCATAATATTCCAATTTTGATTTGAAGAGCTTGATACTTTGTGATTTTATCCAATTCTATATAGTCTTCTATTATGCCCTGGTAGTGCTATATCAATTAAGGACACTTTCTTCTTTCTCGCTACAGTTATTTGTGAAGACTTTGTGAGTTTATGCTCAAAATAATCAGCCAATGCAAGCTTTTTCTTCCTTTAAAGTTTGTTTGAAATGATGTAAACCCCTGCCTACATTTTCCAGGGCAGATATAATCTATTAGTATCACTATAGGGATGAAATGTGTAATGCATAATCAGTTTTCTTAGTTTTCAATCCAATCTGTCCATTTCAGCTTGTGTATAGTTAATATTGCCAGCAGTGGATTGTATCACATGTACAGCCCTGGTTATTTATGGCTTCCATGGTATTTTCCTCATTTAATTTTGTGTTTAGCAATTTTGTCACCCTTTGGATATATTCTTTACTAATTACATTTTAACTTGTCAATGCTTGATGATATTCATACATAAAATTCCCAGATTCTTGTAGAATTTATCTTGATGGTTCCTCATGGTTTGGCCATTTGACATTTCATTTTTTCATGATTTTACTTTACTTATTGCCACTGTAGCACAGTTTTTAGGCCAAATTCCATTGGTATAACTGTGCTAAAAATATGTTTTTATTTTTTAATAAAATAAAGTTTATTATATGTTTTATGACTGGATTTTGATTTTTGTTTACTCAAATGTTTACTCAAACATTTCAGATCAACCATATAAAGCAAATATGAGATTTCATTAGCATGCTTATTATTTGATAGCTAAAACTTGTTTTCTTCAAAATCACTGAAATTGGGATCACAACAATATAAAATAATAACTGTAATAATCAATCATTTTGGAAGATACCTCTTTAATGTTGGGAAGCCAATATTTTTCATTTCCAACCACCAATCTATTTTTCACTTATTGGTTTGTTTTTTTTAATGAAGATTTTGATTTTTATAGTATACCTGTATTTCCAAACATTTGATGAACCAAATATGGGGTAATGAATCAATTGCCTTTTTATAATCAACTTTGACCATATCTAAATTGGTTTTTCAGCTTTTGCAATTCTCAAAAACCATTTTATCAAGCAGAATCTTTTGTACCTCTGTTTTTCCTTTTATTTAATTTCTGTTTTACTGAAACATTGTTATAGTCTTCTAAATAATCTTGGATAGTGTCCACTATTATGCCTATGAGTAATTTAAATATTGTAGGCAAGTATGCTATTGGTCTATAGTTTCCTAGTGTTGTCCCTTTCACTGTCTTCTTGAATCAGTTATTGAATCACTTTTTCCAGTTATTATCCAGTTGCTTTATGCAATCCTTCATTAAGCTGTTTAGCTACAATTGGATGTAAACAAGTCAGATACTTGAGCCAAAAGCCATGTGATTGATCCTTTCCAGGAATGTCTCATTTTTAAATTATTTTCACTCAATTTTAACCATTTCCACTGTTGTTATTAGTTATTATTATTACTAATGTTGCCCAGATTGGTAATATTGCAGATCCTATAATTTACTGCTTTTTTTATTTCCGGTGCTTCCTTAGTCATCCATAATTCTAGGTAATATTTCTTGATCAATGTTTTTTTTTTTTTTTTGGTCTTCCAGTTGTTCAGCTTCTTTTCTTTCATATGTTTCCAGCTGGCTTGCATCTGATGTTAGTACACTCATTTTCCAGCCTAATTGTCCATTTTGGTGATGCACTGTTTGGCTTTTTGTCTTCTTTGTTGATTTGCATCCTAGGCATTATCCTCCTGCCCACCTAGCAAATCAAAAGCAGGCAAAATAAGAGTAGATTAATAGGTACCATTTCGGTGGAAAGCTAATAGCACTGTGCACACCTTTGGTGTATAACCATGATAGGCCCTTCAGTCAAGAAACAAAGATAAGCACCACACCCTAGAATTGGACATGACTGGACACAGAAACCTTTATTTACCTTTATCCTAGGTATTCATTTATAACTTCACTTGTGCTGTATATTAACTGGTTTGTTTCTTGCAGTGAGATGGTGTTTATATCAGTGGTGAAATTCATTTTTTTTACACGCTGTGGGTGTGGCTTGGTGGGTCTGTTGTGGTGTGGCTTGGTGGGCATGGCAGGGGAAGGCAAAATCTCCATTCCCATCCCACTCTAGGGGAATGATATTGCAAAATCCGCATTCCCTCCCCCCTCCTGGGGGAAGGATATTGCAAAATTTCCATTCCCACTCCACTCTGGGGCCAACCAGAGGTGGTATTTGCCAGTTTTCTGAACTACTCAAAATTTCTGCTACCGGTTCTCCAGAACCTGTCTGAACCTTCTAGATTTCACCCCTGGTTTATATTTGATATTATAGTATTGACATCTTTTACTACTTGTGCTAGCTGTTTCTTTTGAACAAGCTTCAATGCATGCAATCTTATTCTGTTATTTTTGTTCTATTCTAGATGCTCAGCTATCATGATTCAAATCTTTTTTTGAATCCAAAGAGACTTTTGGTTCTGTTTCATTTTGTTTCAGAAAAAGGTAGATGAGAGGGTCCCTGTTTTTGGAATAAAAATGATTGAATAGCAATGCTGACTTCCTCTACTGCCTACTTTTCCTCATTTGCCTTTTCAGTCTGAGTAACTTCTGGCAAAATTTTGATTTCTTTGCCCTGGGGAGACCTTTACAATTCTTTCAGTTCTGCTTCTATAAATACTTTATTTCATATTATAAATTGATGTTGATCTGCTAGCCTCTCTTCTGTTATTTCTGATTCTGGTTATTGTTCTTTCTGAAAGTGGTACAGTTTTTTTGATTTTTCTTGTTGGACTTGATTTGTAATAATAGATTATTATTTTTTCAATCTTTTTTATATTTGGAAAGGATAAGTACCTTCTTTTCCAATAGTCTTGCAGTTTCTCACCCTGTTTGCTCAGCCAACAATCC